ACATATTTTATGACTTGATCAAAAAGAAAAATATAGAATACCAGGCTCAGGCCCTACTCCAGAGATGTAATTTAATTGAATATTCTCCAAGCCTCCTGATGATTCTCTTGGGCAGTCAGGGCTGAGAAGTACTGTCTTAGAGGCCAGGGCCAACCTTGGGGTGAGCCTAAGGCTAGAGGGGCCAAAAGGGGCATCACAGCTCATGTAAGGTCCAGCTCGCCGTGGTTTTGCCACAGCGGGCACTTGTCTCAAGTCTCCTTTGCATACACACACTTTGGGGACTGATGGTGGTGGTAGTTGGCTGGTCAGGGATCTTCCCATTGATCTTGCCAGCATGTGGTAGAGCCCAGCAGAGAGAAGCCTGGGATCTGGGCTCAGTCCCCCAGTCCCCAGGCTGCGAGTGTAGCCAAACGTGTTGTGGGCAGCACCTTAAAAGAAGAGCAAGGCTCCAGTGTTGGGGAGAATCTGGCAAACGCAGGAGCAGGGACAGGCTCTCTCAGGACCCTCCAACCAAGAGAGCACCTGCATTTCTTGTGAAGGGCAGCATCTCCTGCTCTGGGAAAATATTTGCTAACCTGGATCTGGGCCTGATATTAATTTAGAAGGCCAGCTCAGGCTCTCCGTAAACACACTTGGAGTTTGGGTTGGCAGAAGACACAGTGTTTGCTGCCACCAGCTCCTTCCTCCTTCTCCTATTTCTTGGCCAGGGGTGAGGGGTTGGCATGCTGCTGAGTCTTGATTATGATCCTGGACTCCTGGAATTCAGGGGGTGGATTCCTCAATGAACAGATGAGGGGGAGATAAAAGGATTAATGACACAGAGTGGGTGTATCATCTTTTTGGATGGAAGTGGAGGGGAAAACTTAATGTCATTGCCACAAACCCAAGGCCAAGAAATAAAATTAAAATGAAAAGTTCAGTCCCTTGAACACTGTTTCCAGGAAGTGACCCGTTCATTAGCTGTGGGAGAAACACAACCACAGCAGGTTAAAAAATTCCAGCAATTTGTGTGCAGACAGAAAAATATTGAAAGTGGCTGAACTGGGTCTTTCTGAACAATAAGGAAGTCACCTCAAGGGATGTTTGTGCAGAGTAGGAATAATCAAGGCCTCAAAAGCTGGGGGAAAGGTTAAGTTTTATAAAGCTGTGGCTAGAAAAAGTCCTACTGTTTTCTCCGACCTCCAAACAGAAGCACCAATTTCACCACCGGCAGTTTCGATTCAAAAATATTTGAAGGGGGGATTTCCCAGCTATAAGGCTATAGAAATAGGTGAAGGGAAGGACCCAGAAGGAGGTAGATTAAAATAGTGGTGTGAAAGATAAACTGAGGCATATTAAAATTTTTAAGAGTTTCTTTGAGCAAAAATCGTTTGGAATCGGGTAATGCCAAACTGGAAGTGGTTAGGCGCGCTCCACCAATGGGAGCCGGGCTGGGGGGAGAGACTTTGATGGAGAAGATGCAGAGGCCAAGTAAGGGAATTGTTGATGGGCTGTAGCATAGAGCCTCGTTGGTTGGTTGTGATTGGTTGTCCTTAGCTTTGAATTTCCTAACCTTGAGGCATTATAAGCTTATATTTTGGTTTGCCTACGTAGGCCACCGTCTCTTGCAAGAATGATCACCGCACACAGGTGCAGAAAATGCCCCCTGCCTGTGTCCACAGGCCCCAGGTGGGCCAGCGGAAGGTAGATGAGACTGGGGCAACAGACAGAGAAGTGGACGTCTGATGCGATGAGGGGTCTGGGGGGGTGGGGGGCAGCACTAGCAGGCTTAACCATTCTCACAAGGCACAAGCGTGCTAGGGGAGCTGCTGGGGATGGAGTTCCTCATCTGCAGGAGCCTGTAGGGGCCACCACCTGTGCACACCCAGCCTGCAGACCATGAGCTAGGTCAGTGTAAGCGGCCAAAGAAAAGAGACCGAAACTACACCATAGCCATCATCTAAAGAGCCACCTATGCTCTCTCTGTGTCCTATCCTAACACCAAAACCTGCGCACAGAAGGGGGCGGCGGGTGTGTGAGCAAGAAGACCACGCCCCTCCCTCTAGCCTTAAAGGTATAAATCAAGGCTGTGCTTGGGGGAAGGGGGTAGGGAGGTTTTGGGGATCTGACTTGAATATGAGATAGACTTTTAAATTTGAATAGTTTCAAGTCTTAAGAACTGGAATGAAAGTGCTTTAATGACGCAGTGACTGAAAAGTTAGGAAACCAGGCTGAGGCGGCATGTGAGGAGCCCGCCCCCTAGCGGGCCCGAGCAGAGGGGACAGCTAAGGAGAATGACCCTCCCGTCCCCACCCTACAGGGGCTATTATGGCCTTATTTTACAACTGGGAAGTCTGTGGCTCTGAGAGTTCAGTACTTCAGCCAAGTTCAAGTCTACCAATGGCAGTGCTGAGACTGGAGCTCAGATGCACCGGCCACGTGGGGGAGTCCCCACTGTGGGCTGGATGGCTGGGCCACCCTGCCTGATGCAGGATTTACAACGTGAGCTGGTTGTTCTCTAGTTTGGGAAAAACGTCTTTGCTAGCACTGTGGAGAGTGCGGGAAGAAAAAGTTTGCTCCAGTCCAGATCACCACGGGACAGAAAATCAGAGTCGTGGGTAGTGGGACAGCCCAGAGGTAACCTGAGCCCTTTGCCCCAGCACGTTTGACAGCTCATGAGTCGGTAGAAGTGTGTGAGTGTGATTAAGAAACAGAAGGTTCTGGTCTAATGCTCCTGGCAGAAGCAGCCTTGTGGGAAGGGAGTGGAAGGATTCAAAACCAGCCTTCCCCTTGCCCCCTCTCCCTTCAAGCTCTACGACAGGGAACAATCCTCAGCCCTATGCCAGGCAAGTCCCAGAAGAAGGCAGGCCTCTGGGGCAAAGGTGCCCTCAGGTCAGCCTTGGTGGCGGTCAGTTGGCTCCAACCTGACCTTGCTAACAGACCTGGCCTGCCCTTGGCTGGAAAGCTCTCCCACATCCGGCATTTCCCACATCAAGCCATGCTCAAGAAAAGCATCTCCAGAGTGAAAAATGAGGACTCTAGAAAATGGGGATTTGTGGAAGGTTTGCAATGCGGGGAGTGACCTGTGCAAGCTCTTACACTGTCTCTTGCCTCTTGAGGTCTCTGACTCCACACCCCCCAGCTCCCTTTTCTCCCTGGTCACTCCTCTTCAGTGTTCTTACTGCCTCCTCCTCCCTCTATCCCACCTCTTCTCAGGAAGGATTGGAAAAATCCTTAGAGATTTTTCAACTAAGTAAACTGGGAGTTTTCAGGACTGATTCTGGACCCTGTCTTCTCTCTACACTCTGCATGGGTGAGCTCATCCTTTCTCATTCTAAGTACCTCGGCACACTCATGACCCTTAAGTTCATATGTCTAGCCCAGAACTCTCGTCTCACTTATCCACTGGCTTATTTGATATCTCCATTTGTGTGTCTCATGAGCATCTCAAACTTAGCATTCTTCAAACTGAACTTAGAATTTTCCTTCAGTAAATCCTATTGATTCTATCTCCAGCATATATATCAAATGTATCTACTTTTTTTCCATCTCTTCTGCTCCCACTCTTGCTTGAGCTAACAGCATCTTTCCCACTGAATGTGCCCTGGCCATTTTTTTCCCGACACTGCCTCTTAACATGACCCTCAACTCATTCTCCACAGAACAACCAGAATAATCTGCTTAAACTGCAAATCAAATCATTTTAGTCTTGTATGTAAATCCCTTAATGGCTACTTATTGTATTCAGAATGAAATCTAATATTGTGCTACGACTTGGCCCCTATCTACCTGTGTTATCCATTAGGGCTCACCCATGTTTCTGTTTCTTCTCCCCTTCTAGGCACATGGGATGATTGTACCTCCTCATGCCCTTGCAGTGGAGATCTGTTTCACTTGCTTTGGACAATGAAATGTGAGCAAAAGTGATTTCAGAGTCAGTACATGGCTATGAATGCACTTTTTTGTCCCGCTACAGTGATTAGGGAAACCAGTATTGAAATGGTGGCGCCACAAGATTGAAGCAGCCTGAACTGCTGGTGACAGTAGGAGAGCTGACCTGGACGTTTGCCCAAATCCACAATGAACTTTTCATGAGTTAAAAAAAAAAAGCTTCTGTTGTGAGATTTGGAGTTGTTTGTTACTGCAGCAAAACATTGCCTGTCCTGATTGATACACTGGAGAAAGAGGAATTACTTGTGGGACTCCTCTTGAAAACAAAATCAAAGGACAAAATTTTTTTCAGAAAATGTCCTTCTTTTTCATTAGACTATAAAAAAATTAACAACTGGCTCTTATTAATTATTTACAAAAGGAATTACAATGAATCTCCAAATTGGAGTGAATTTCTGGGTTGTCCAAGGAGCAGGCGCATACGCATCTTTGACAGGTAATGACACTCCTAGTTGACAACTCTGGATATGGAGGGGCCTCTGGATGGCCATGAGGAAAAGAGGAAGATGTGGGTGCAACTTCACAGAGAGAGAATCTGATAGGAGGGAAAGGCACCTTAGATGTGTGTTAATATCATTGCTCAAGTTAAACATGAACCAGGAAAGACATACTTTCTTCTTCATCACCAAAGTAGCAGCTGCTTCACCTTGTCTTAGGTTTAAAATATCCCAGGCAGGTTGAGTGATCTAAATTTGGCTAAAAAGGGAGCAGTCTGTGGGGAACACATTTTCCACGCAGGAGCATATCTTTGTCTCTTTCTGCTCAGGCTCCTATTACTATATATCTTCAACTATTGGCAGTGTTTAATAAGAACTTAATTTGGAGCAGGGGAGGGAGGGAGGGAGGGGAGAGAGAAGACAGACAAATAGAAAGGCAGAAGGGAAAGAAGGAAGGAAGGACTACGGAAGGAAGGAAGGAAGGGAGAGAGGGAAGGATGGAGGGAAGGATGGAAGGAAATAAATCTGTGACGAGACTGGAATGTGCAGTCTCAGTGAGGGATGAGATGACTGGCCCTTTCTGAATACCCTCAAACATATAAAAGAGTAGGTAGCATTGTTGTGACCCTTATAACCCAGGGTGACCCTACTTTGGGAGGCTCCAGCTGAAATGGTGTGGTCACCACCAATGAATGTAGTGACTTCTAAGTGAGCTAGCCTCCAGGCATAGCAACCAGAAAAAGGCAATTCTCAGAGCTCATCTTCTCCAGAACGTGTGAGAAATCCTCAGAAGATATTGAAAACATGATTGCCCATATCTGTTGATTCCAGGACACTGTTAAGGCATTCCATTGGCTAGGGTGCCTGTACTATGTTTCAAAATTCCCTAGTTCCAGAGACCTCCCCAAGGAATGGGCATCCAGGCCTCCGTAGCAATGTCTTCTTATATAAGCAGAATGGGGCTGCATTGATCAGACAGCCCTTTCATCCTGAACTGTGAGCAGTCTGGCCTGGGCAATCTCTTCTTTTTTGAGGGACAAGGCCATGTGCCCATTGTGAAGTTCATTTCCTACAATCCCTACAGTTGAGTAAGTCCAGTTCTTGCTCACAGCTAGAGGCCCTAGTTGTGGCTCTGCCTCTTGGATTCTTTGATGAGGGCATAGCTGGCCTCGAGGTTGGGACACCTGGCTTAGTAGAAAGCTTCAGGCTGGGCCATATAAGCCCAGGTTCCGGGCAGCTTGGGAGATCCTGGGCATTTTCCTCTGGGGAAATGGATAGTGAGCTGGTTTTCCAGACCTGAGTGTGTTCTTTATGGAAGGAGGGCACGGAATGCTGGTGTTTAAGTTGGATCTCACTGCGTTGGTTTGGGTATCACCCACCTGACATTCACTCTGGGCTGCCTCTGGGTTCGTGGTCCCTAGCTGAGTCATCTGATTGTTTCCAAACAAGCCTGGGTCTCCCTCCTGGGGGAGCCTTTGTTCAGACCCCATGAGCTTGCTCTTGTGTTTTATTTGATGACTGGTTTCCTGGCGGAAGGTTTGGACCAAGCGGTGCATCTCTAGGTGCGTGTGCCATGGAGACTCTGGGGCCTGCAGACAGCCTCTGTCAGCCTCCTCCAGCATCCCCGCTGCCTCAGGATCCGCCTCGTCCAGAGACAGTGAATGCCTTCTCTCCTTGTTAATCCAAACAGCACTGACCATGGATTCAGCAGGAGCAGGCGTGTTCCCTCCTGAGAAAGCAAGGATAAGCAGGGTCACCAATGCAAGTTACATGGGCAGCTCTCATTTGAGGGGTCTCAGAGCTTTCAAGTTGACGGAAGGCCATGCCTCAGAAGTCACGGAGGCCAGGTACCCAGTACATTGCATGTGTGTATACACACATACATGGGTACACACATGATCTCACTCACATATGCTCACACACGTACACTCCCTCCCACCCCACACACTCACACCCACACAAGCTGTCTCCTTCTCCCTCTCTCTCTCTCTCACACACACACACACACACACACAGACACACACACATACATTTATTCAACAAATATTTATTGAGCTCTTATTATGCCAGGCATTATTTATTTTAGGTCCTGGAAATGCAGCAGCACTAAGACAAAATCCACACCTTCATGCTGTGTTCTAGCAGGGTAGAAAAACAATAAGCAAATGAATATATTATAATAAAATTTCAGGTGGGAACCAATGCTATGGAGAAAAGCTCAACCATAATAGAGTTTAATAATAGACTTTAGGTTTTGACTGCAGTGAGAGGTGAACCCTGGGAAGAGCTAGGGAACTAGCGTTTCAGGCTGACAGAATGACAAGGAGCAGGGCCACACACGTTCACCCACATGTATGGATTCACATACACTCGCCAGTGGAAAAGGTTATTCCTAACTTAAGGAGTTTTGTGTCTGGGATTCTGATAATGGGTTTACCACCCAAGGCAGAGGAGAGAGAAGCTGTGTCTCAAAGCAGCTCCTCTTGGAGGAGGGGCCCTTCTCCTTCTATCCCACAGATGCTGTTCTGGGAACACATTAGCAGCACCTACTGCTTCCCTGAACTGGTGTCAGGGATGAGGATGCAGACCGATGTCTCGCTTCTTTCCTAGGGACATATTTCTAGCACCTTCTGGAACATGATAGTTTATAGTCAATTCTTGGTGGCAGTGAGGGTTGTGGGAATGACTGAAAGGCATTTTCCTATAGAGAGTGGGTCTGTGACCAACCTGGAGATGCCTCTGAAATGACAGTGAAGCTCACTTGTGTGTTCTGACATTTGTCACTGCAGGAGGCCCTGTAGGTGACAAAGTACATTGCAGGAGTGGGGAGATGGTGTTGGAGGAATAAAGTCAGAAGAGAGCCTCTGAAGCTCCAGTTCTGGGAATCCGAGAGAAACAGAGGACCGATGCAGCCCTCTCTGCAAACAGTTACAGTCCCATAAACGCTAATTCCAGTGGTTTTGTTCTGGCTTTATGACCGCGCTATTTTCTTAGCATAACAAATGTGAAAACCTTTATAAATATTCAAAGAGCTCTGTACTTATTTGAGAACAGAGGAGGGCGGGGGCAAGAGGGGAGAACCTAGGAACTGGCATCCTCTCCCATTATGAGTCTAGAAGGAAAGGGCCCAAGGTGGACAGGCAGGTCTTGGTAGCAGAGAGGAGCCTACTCAGCGGTCAGTCCCAGTCTGGGGTCCGCGGAGGACAAGGAAAGAGACTAAGTGGGGAGGAACACATAGACCTTGACCTCAAAGCAGACCCTGTTGAGAATCACTCCATGAACCTTCCATTGTGGTCCCCTCCACACCTTTGGAATGGTGCCTGCTTTCCACACGGCCCAAGCAAAAGAGAGTTAACGCAATTATCCGAAGAGTACAGGGAAATTTCATATCAAGTTTTTATCTGTTTTGATTTTGGTCAATCGGGGACTAGGGAGGATGGAAATGTTTTAATTATCTTCATGCTTTCTTAATTCTCCACCAGTGGTTCAATTTGCCAGAAGATACAAATTGGGGAAGAGACATTTTGAGCCCCTCTTTGATTTCTCTCTTCAGCTGGGGTGAAGGATGGTGAACGGAGATCTTAAAACAGGAGCTGCCTTACAGGGCTGTTGGGAATGTTAAGTGAAATGTACATATAAAACACGCAGCCCAGATATGAGTTCTCATCCCTAATCCCTTTTCTACATAAGATGAATCACACATTGCCTAGATGTGACAAAAGCATATGCCTTTTGGACACCAACGATTGGGGCAATGGGGGCTTCATAGACCCCAGGTCAAGGTCCCACGGTGCCCATATGTTGCATCAGGGCAGCCATGCCACTACTTGGAACTGCATTTCTAGAACTAGATCCATCCCATAATGCTAATACAGGATGAAGAAAGCTAATTCCAGGGCCTTTTCTTCCATTAATCAGCTTCCAGAATACCTGCCCTTCCAAATACAACCCAATGTCTTGAGACACTGAAATCCAGTTTTGTTTTTTTTTTTGAGGAAGATCAGCCCTGAGCTAACATCCATGCCAATCTTCCTCCTTTGGTGAGGAAGACTAGCCCTGAGCTAACATCTGTGCCGATCTTCCTCCATTTTATGTGGGAAGCCGCCACAGCATGGCCTGACAAGTGGTGCATTGGTGCGCGCCCGGGATCCGAACCCGGGCCACCAGCAGCGGAGCGCGCACACTTAACTGCTACGCCACGGGGCCGGCCCCTGAAATCTAGTTTTAATAGACACCAATCTCAATGGTCTGTCTTCCGGGGTCTCTCTGTGTACTGGAAACAGAAGATCACTATCTTCTAAATTCCCTCCACTCACTTGGCTTCATGAAACCAATATCTCCTGGTTTTCTCCTACCACTAAAAACATAGGTAATTGTGTTAAGGTTCACATAACATAAAATTTACCATCATAGCCATTTTTAAGTGTACACTTCAGTGGTTTCAAGTACATTCACGTTGTTATACAACAGATCTCCAGAACTTTTTTCTTCTTTCCAAACTGAAACTCGATATACTCATTAATCAGCTCTACATTTCCCCTCCCCCCAGCCCCTGGCAACCACCATTCTAATTTCCATCTCTATGAATTTGACAACTCCAGGTACCTCATAAAAGTGGAATCACACAGTATTGGTCGTTTTGTGACTGGCTTATTTCACTTAGCATAATGTCCTCAAGGTACAGCATGTGTCAGAATGTCCTTCCTTTTTAACGCTAAATAATATTCCTCTCTTCCCCTTTTGACTGCTCTCTATCTTCCCTGGCTTCTCTTCCTTTGCTTGTCCCTTAAATATCTGAATATTCCAGAACTGTAATTTTCATCCCAGCCTCCTATCAATTTACACATTGACCCTCCACAATTTTATCTGTGCCCATGGCTTCAACTACCCCCTATATGTTGATGACCTGAAATCTATATCTCCAGCTCAGATTTCTCTCCTGAGATCCAGGCTGGTTGGACGTTCTACAGACAACGATCTCAAATGCTGCATATTCAAAGACAAATTCGTCTCTTCCTACCAGCAATCTCTTTCTCCTGTATTCCCTATCTCAGTGAATAGCACCACCAGCTACCCTGTTGCTAAAGTGTAGGCAGAATGGCTTTTCTGCCTCCCTAGCATCATTTTCTCCTTATTTTTGTAATCTTGCCCTGATTTCTCCCTGGAGACCTACCTTATTCCTCACACCCAGTCCAAATCCTTCACGTGTTTTTCCAACTCAGATTCGTGTGACGTTAAGTGACCTGGTCCTCAGCCAATCAGCTCATAAAGGCCTGAGGAGCTTTATAGATATCAATTCATTTAATTCCTACAACAACCCTATGTGGTCACGCGCTGCATAATAACATTTCGGTCAACGATGGACTGCATATATGATTATGGTACCATAAGATTAGTACCGTATAGCCCAGGTGTGTAGTAGGCTATACCATCTAGGTTTGTGTAAGTACACTCTATGATGTTCGCACAATGACGAAATCGCCTGATGACGCATTTCTCAGAACGTATCCCTGTCGTTAAGCAACACGTGACTGTACTTCAGGTACGACAGTTATTCCCAATTGACAGATGAGGAAACTGAGTCTCAGAGAATTTATGTAACTTGCTCAAAGCTGCATATCAAGTACGTGACAAGAGCTGGGGACTCAAACTCAGGCTCTTCCTCAAGTCCATGACCACTCCATCAGACAGTGCACTACTTCTCACAATTATAGAGAGAGTGTGGAATTGCAAACTGTTAGGGGTGGCCTGAAAGGACCCGAACTAGGGACAGAAGTCTTCCTTGAGGAAGCAGCGCCTGAACCCTCCTCCTTGTCTTCACCTGCCCTAACTTATCACAGGGTGATGATGGAGGAGGGAGCACTGAGTTACAGAATGCAGGAGTAAGGGCCAATGGGGAGGCTGGTGGCAGGGGATGGTGAATTCTGTGGGGCACATTGAGTTTGAGCTGTCTTTGGGATGTGCCCATTACATGGATTTGTGAGTCTGAATCGTGGGTGTGTTAAGCGTGGTGCTTTCATTTCATAGGGGTTTAATTTAATAAGTGTTTGCTGAATAACTGAATGAATAAACACCCTTGAGGATGGGATAGGGCTTTAGGAACCGTTCAGCTTCTGCCCTCAGAGATGAGGGCTACTTGGCTGTGCCAGTTCAAGTCAAACGGTTCCCATTGGTTGGCAACAGCCCAAGTCATGGGGGATGGGCGCCTTCAGCCCAGAGGTGCCACTTCTGTCTTCAAAAGGCAGCACACTTCCTGTCCCAGATGGTGAGATCCCCCAGCCCCTGATTCCTTCCCAGCCTGGCTTAGTGCAGGGTGGGCCACTCAATGAGTCCTCAACTGTACAAATAACCACAGAAACCCCCAGGCACAGCCTTGACATTTCAGGGGGTCTTCCCACCTCCCTGGACCTGTTCCTCTGTTAGAGGATGAAGGGCTGGGATTTGCCAATTGTTGCTTTTTGAGCCCTGTGCTCCTAAGTTCCTCCTGGGATGAAATCTGAGTTTCCAAAGGGAAGAGGCTTCTCCCCTCCACGAGGGAGCTTCCGGGTCTCCTTGAGGTCTCCTTGGCTGCTGTTAGAGGGGTGATGAGCCTGGGCGCCTCCTGGCTCCCTGAGCCCTGCGTTTCCTCTGGCCAGCTCCCGGGACTGTTGGGAACGCCACGTCTTCCCTCTCGGGAGCCAGTTTCTCAGGTTTGCAGGACGTGCCCCCGTGAGACCCAGCAGGAGGCAGAGCTCCCATCTCCCCACCTGGCCTGGCAGTGGGGGCCAAGCCCGGCTCACCGGGCAGACCAGTCCAGCCAGATCATAACTAAGAGCAGAGGCCAGGAACAGCGGGCTGCCCGCCAGACGCCTGCTTGAGGCCCGTGGCTCAGTTGGCGGAGGGCCTGGGCCGAGCAGAGCTGCCCTGCACGGGCCTCCCTGCTCTGACTCGCACTCCGGCCAGCAGGGATGGCCAGCTGCACCCCGGCGTTTCCCACCGGGAGGGCCCGCAGAGCCCTGGCCCTGCCCCGCCTGCCGCCCAGCCACCCATTCCGCCCACAGCCGCGCCCTCCTCCCTCCACCGCCGCCCCAGCACCTGCCCAGCACTACCTTTCGGGAGCACCACGAGGTGGGCCTGGGCCCTCTGCTGCCGCCTCAAGCCTTCGTACTGGGCTCGCAGGAGCTGGATGCTGAGCGGGGGCCCTTTCCCCGGGGCCTGAGTCCCGGAGCCCTGAGCCATGAAGCAACACCCCAGGCGCCAGAAGCGGGGCAGGGCCGGGCACGGGCAGGGCAACCCCTTCATCCGGATCCGGATCCGGGAGAAGAGTAAACACTGATGGGCGGGGCCGGGGGGGTGGATGGGGAGCGGGAGAGGGAAGTGAGGAGGGAAGGTGGAAAGATTGGGGGAGGAGTAAAGCTAGGGGCAGAGGAGAAAGACCGGTGAGAGAAAAAAGGAGGGAAAGAGAAATGTGGGGGAAGGAGAAAGTCGGGGGGTGGGTGGGGGTAAGAGGTGCAGGAAAAGTCAGAGGTAGGAGGAGAATTGGGGAGGAGGAAAGGGCGGGGTGCGAAGGGGGAAGACGGCTGGAGGAAGGAGGTGAGGTGGCCAAGGGATTAATGGGGCGAAGGGGAATAACGGCTTGAGGGAAGAGTGAGGATGACGGAGGAGCAGAGGGAGGAAGGGGAAGGAGTGATTATGGAGGGGGGATGGAGGGGCATGAGGGTCAGGGGAGGAGCACGGGGACGAGAAAGGCCAGCCCAGCTGCTCCAAGTCCTGGAAGTCCAAGGTGGCGTTGTATTCCAGGTCCTTCACTGCTTGATCCTAAAGTTTAGAATCCAGTTCCAGAAGCTCCAATGAAGTCCCCTGTTTTCCGGCAGAGCTGGAGCTGAGGCTGGGGAATGGCAGTGCCAGCTCCGCTCACACCTCTTGGACTGGATGCTGGACGTTCATCTGCAAACCTACCCATTGGGTTTGCAGTTGGAAAAGGAACACACTCCTCAGCCTTACAAAGCTGGCGCTTCGGGCGTGTGCACACCACAGCCCTGCCCTAGGGAAACCCCGTAGCAAAGGTGCCCCCAAGATCCCTACCCACCCCGCAACACACGTCCCAGGAGAAAGCCCAACTCCGAAATTGGCGGTGGGGACAGAGCCTCTGGCCAGCGCCACCTCTGTGACATTTGATGCTGCCGCTGCCGTCTGGCATTCTCCAGCCAAGAAGTGAGCTGATGTTTATCTTCCCACATCGAGGCAGGCCCTCCCCCTCTGCAGCCCCACCATCTCTATATCCGCTTAGAATCCCAGACCCTCTCTCCCCTGCACGAGCTTCCGCCCATCCTTCCTCCCTTTGGTCAATCGAGTCCCTTTCTATCTTCTAACGTGGGATTTACAGATTACCCAATTACCCCACATGCCTACGGAGGCAGTGAAAACAGAGTAGCCGCTAAATTCAGGAGACATTTTGGAGGTTAAGTGGATGGGATCTAGTCATCGGATCTGGGGGGTGAGAGAAGGAGAGTACATCTTATTGGGTAGTGTGTTAGTTTGTTAGGGCTGCTGTAACAAAGCACCACAAATTGATTGGCTTAAACAACAGAAATCTGTTGTCTCGCCGTACTGGAGGCTGGAAGTCTGAGATCAAGGTGTCAGCAAGGTTGGTTCTTTCTGGGGGCTGTGAGGGAGAATCTGTTCCATGCCTTTCATCTAGCTTCTGGTGGTTTGCTGGCGATCTTTGTTGTTCCTTGGCTTGTAAAAGCATCAGCTGATCTCTGCCTTTATATTCACATAGTGTTCTCCCTGTGTGTGTGTTTCTGCATCCAAATTTCCCCATTTTATAAGGACACCAGTTATATTGGATTAGGGCTCATCCTAATGACCTAATCTTAATTCAAATAATTACATCGGTAATGACCCTTTTTCCAAATAAGGTCACATTCTGAGATACTGGGGTTAGGACTTCAACATATGAATTTCAGGGGCCACAATTTCACCCATCCCAGGTAGAGGAATAGTAGTTTCATTCACGGAGATGGCACAGGAGAGGAGCAGACTCAGGGGACGGGGAGGAGGAGGGATTTTTTTGTAGACGTTTGAAGGGTCTATGGCCTTGGGGTCATCAGGAGGGAGTTAGACACTTGGCAGAGAGATCTGACCTGGAAATGCAGATGTCATCATTTGTGAAAAGGATACAGTCCATTATTGGGAAAGTTTTACCATTAGACAGTCAGGCATATATAAAATTGAGAGATGGTCCAAAGTAGCTCTTTTGTTTCCCGTTTCAGTCTCCCCATTAGCTTGTTCAAGTCCATGTTTGATGAGCAGAAGAGAGTCCTCCTCTATGCGCTCCTACTTTCTTCCTTCTCATCGCTTGTAAATTCTTTCTCTTGGTTCCTTGTCCATCATTATGTTCTAACTATTGAAAGAGGGGATGAATGGTCTACGCTGGTGGAGCTTCTACAAGACTATTTCTTAACATAATTTCTGTGCTATTATGTTTTTTTTTTAAGTCTCACTCTTGTTTCCCCACCTCATCAAGACCCTCTCAGTTATCCAGGCTTGGATTGAGTGGGGCTCCATCAGTGGAGTGGATATGCACTCCTGAAAGAGGGTCACAGAGGAGAAGATGCCCTACCCTACTTCATAAGAATGGAAGTCTTAAGTCCATAGGTGGCAGCTGAAGTCTTCGAATTGAATAAAATTTCCAATTTAGGAGGATAGTTCAAGATACGAAGCTCTGGGAAGACCAATAGTTAAGGGGCAGGCAGAAGGAAGAAGGCAGTGTTGAAAACTGAAAAAGTGAAATGTTGAAAAACTGAAAAATCAAAATGATAGGAGAAGAAACTGTAAAGAGGGTCAGTCCAGACTGTAAGGAAGGAAAGAAATGTCACAAAAGATGAAGAGTGGCCAAAATGGGGGAGACAGAATCTCCTGATCTTCCTTACCTGCCTTGTAGAATAGCATCTGAGAAAGACTGCATATGCAGTCTATAGCATATGCAGAAGACGGGTTCTCAATCTCGCTACACATTAAAACCACCTTGGGAGTTTTTAAAGGAACACCAATGCTTGTTGTTGAGTGACTACCCTAAATATTCTGATTTCATTAGTCTGGGGTAGTGTCTGGAGACTGATATATTTCTATAGTTCTCACTGCTCTAGAGAGCCATCTGCCCAGTTTCCATGAGTCCCCGGGTCTCTGGTTAAAAGACAGGTGGTGGGAGACAGTCCAAGCTCCTTCATTTCTTTTTATCAGGGGGTCTCCCTAACATGAACTGAAGGCAAGAGTGGCCCCTCTATGCTGGTCCAGCTGTACCTGCCGCAAAATTGGACTCGATTTCTACTATATTTTGGTATTGATTTGTCAGTCTTCCTCATTTAGTTTTAATAGTTGTCTTTTTTCTCTGTGTGCATCTTTGTAGATATTTCAGTGAGAAGGAGGAGAGGCTATCACAGCTGGTTGCATGCCTTTTCGAAGCTTAAGGTCGTTCTTTTAGTTCATATTGTTCCTCTCTCTCTTTTAACATCCAAATCTTTAATCTATTTGGAATTTATTTTAGTGCTAGAGTGTTAGGTATAAGGCAAGGATCTAGCTATTTTTTCCTCCAAATAATTGCCCAATTGTCACAATACCACATATTGAATAAACATTCCTTTCCCTGTGATTTGCAATAACACTAATAATAGCATAAGAAAAAAATGGCAACTGTATCCCATCCCAGGGAGTCTTCAGAAATAAAAGAAAAATATGATTGAGTCTGTAGCCCTTTCTGGAAACACTGTGACTGTTACCACTAAAAGCTGTCCTTTATTATTCAGGTAGACTCTCTAGGAGAGCAAGAAATAAGCTTCAAGTTTCCTCAGGGTTCGAGACACTGGAATAGAGATAAGATGCCCTGTATTTGAGGAAATATTTTCTTTTTCTGAACGTATTTAAACTGTACTGAACCTGAAAATTCAAGTCTTGTTGAGAGAGGAGCCTGTGCTTCATCTAACAAATCCACTAATTAAAGGAACCGCTCTCCCTACAGCTCTCACTGGAGCTTATAGTAAAGGAAATTAGACCTGGAGGATCCAGCTCCACTCCTGTCCAAGAGATCTAGCTGTTCCATGAGATTTGGTGGCAACAGGTGTCACTTATCACTAGGGCACTACTCCAGAGAATTACTTCAACTGGAGGCACTGTAACCTAAAGCCCAGCCATTGGTGGGTGGAGATTCAGAGACTTGAAGAAGGAAGCCCGTAGGGGAGGTGGTTTGAGAGCCAAACGCCAGGAGAGCCAGGTACACAGTGGGGATGGGGCAGGAGTGGATCCCGTACTTGTGAAGGACTTAAGTTTTGTGTTCTTTCTACTGGAGACTCCAGGGAAAGCTTAAGTTACCCTTATCTTTAGCTTTTCCTCTTCTCTATAATAATTTCACTCTGAAATTATCCCACCCCTGCAGCCTCATGATGTAGCCTTAGAAAAACCAAAATGGCAGGATGGCAAGGAATGGGAGGCCTCCCTGTGGTGTCTTCTGTCTGGTTCCCATGAGGAGGGGGCCTCGTCCCATGGAGCGGACTGTGACTTGGTGTTCCGTGTGGTGAGAGGCAGTGTCCACAGGAAAGCCAGGTGTGACAGGAAAAGACTCAGGGTGTCAAGGAGTGCTTCAGGGCAGAGAAACTCATAAGTGCAAAGTTCTTGGCCTTATCAAGTGAGGGAGGTTCCTCTTTGAAAAAGGAGAGTGTGGGGAGACATATGAAAACAATAATTACATTCATTGAGCCCAAACTACAATGGGCCGGGTATATGCTAATCATTCTGTGTACATAATCAATTTTTTATTGTGGTGAAATATACATAACATAAAATTTTCCATTTGAACCATTTTAAGTGTACAATACAGTAGCATTAAGTAGATTCACAATGTTGTTCAACCATCATCTCTATCCATTTCTAGAGCTTCTTTATCATCCCAAACAGAAATTCTGTACCCATTAAACAATAACTCTCCATTCCTCCCTCCCCCCAGTCCCTGGCAACCTCTAGTCTACTTTCTGTCTATGAATTTGCCTATTTTAGGTATTTCATATAAGTGGAACCGTACAATATTTTTCCTTTTGTATCTGGCTTATTTCACTTAGTGTGATGTTTTCAAGGTTCATCCATGTTGTGGTATATATCAGTACTGCATTCCTTTTTATGGCTTAATAATATTCCATTGTCTGTATACCACATTTTGTTTATCCATTCATCCATCGATGAATATTTGGCTTGTTTCCACCTTTTGGCTATTATGAATAATGCTGCTATGAACATGGGTGTGCAAGTATTTGTTTGAATCCTTGCTCTCAGT